CAATTGCATCACTCAATTTAACAAATCCTAGGTTTCCCTAAACATTCATTCAAGAGAGATAAACTTGAAGAACACAAATTTCATTCAAAGCAAGGATTTGAAAGCATAAACAAAGCATAATCTTGGGTCCAAGGTGAAAACAAGCATCCTTACATGAGGATTAAACCCTCATCCCACAACAAGAAACTACTCACACATCTTGTTCATAAACACAAAATCAACAAGATGAACCATAAAGAGAGAAAAAGAAAGAGATGCTCAATAATGTCTTCAATCTTCAATCCAAGGCAAATCTCCCTGTTCCTCCCTCAAGAATTCGGCCCTAGGTCTTTTGGAGGAGAGAAAATCGCCTCCTTTGCTTTCCCCAATCGAGCTCCCCTCAAAAAGTCCGAAAAATCGGACTTAATCTGTTTCCAGGTCACGCGGTCAGCCGGACCAAGGTTTGGTCCGGCGGACCGGGCGTAAAATGAAACGGCGCAGAATGGTTCTGGTCCGGCTGACCAAATCTGGTCAGCGCCGGACCAGGTCTTCAGTGGACTCACACCGGATGACTGGGGCAGACGAGCGGCTGACTGGGCAGGCGAACAACTCTTGGTCCGGGGCTGACCAAAACTGGTCAGCTCCGGACCAGGTGCACTTCGGATCTGGTCAGGTCCTCTTCGGCGGACCGGCTGACTGAGGAAACGAGCGGCTGACTGGGCAGGCGAACAACTCTTGGTCCGGGGCTGACCAAAACTGGTCAGCTCCGGACCAGGTGCACTTCGGATCTGGTCAGGTCCTCTTCGGCGGACCGGCTGACTGAGGAAACATGTGATCCTGGTCCGGCTGACCAGGATTGGTCAGCTCCGGACCAGGCTTCATTTTTGCTTGGTCAGCTCATCTTTGGTAGGTTCGGCGGACCAGTGGAAGGATCGCATGCTGGTCCGGGGCTGACCAGATTTGGTCAGCTCCGGACCAACCAAATTCTTCACTCCTCTTCTCGTCTTCTGTCCTCTTCTCGGTTGAATTAACTGTGCACGATTGGT